TATATATATATATATGTGGTGTAAAGTGATTGAGAAAGACACCTGAAGTCAACCTCTGGCCTCTACACATGTGTACACACACATGCAAACACACATATGCATACTCCCCCACCCCACTCCTATAAAACTTCCCTGTGCCTCTAACCTCGTCTTCAATCCTTGGTCCTGGAGACTGTTCATCCCTCAGGGATAGATTAGAGGTTATCACTTGAACCATTCCCTGACCCCTGCTGCAGAGCCTGTGCTGGTCTGAGCATCCAGGGATAGGGCTAAAGGTGTGGCCATTTCTCAGGTCCATGGAGCAGGCCTTCAGGCGAGCAGGGCCTTTCTCTCAGCAAAGGAGGGTCCTGCTTGTGAAAGGGCCAATCTTCAGAGAACCTACTGCCATCTGAGGGTAGACTGAGGAAATCAGACTTAGGTGCGAGATCAGGCAGGGGTATACCTGGACGTTCTCTTGGTGTTCAGAGACTACAGGTGGGGGACAGGTTTTACAAGGGCAACTGTAAAGTGGGGGAGGCTCTAAAGTCAGTCACAACATGGGCCTGCTTGGACTCTTCTGACCATGACCCCATCTTTCCTCACACATTGGAAGGACCATCAGGACCACAGACAAACCCCAAACCAGCCCCTAGACAGAGCCAGGGATCAACGTGTAAAACAAACTGTATTTAGAAGCAGAAGTCTGTCCAGCATATAGCACAAACCCACACTCATTCTCTTGAGATCCACAGAGGCGGGGGAACTGAGGCCACACCCAGAAACAAGCCTTTCAAGTCATGCTGCCAAGGAAGCCCAAGGTCCTCCCAAGACATGCCACCAGGGGGCAGGCGCATCCCATCATGGCCTCTCAGGATCTGATGCAGGCTGAACAGTCCTAGTAGTCCAACATCTTGAGTCCAGGATGCAAATCTCTTCTTGTCTCCATGGTAACGACTAGGCTATTCTACCCTCTAATAGTTTAGTTACTGAGTTCATGTCCAGTGGAATATATCAACATGGGATCCAAGTACCTGAGACTGAACTGGCCTCTCAAAGAGTCCCCTAAAACCCTTCCTTCCAGATCTGGGCATGTTAGGGGAGCAGGATTGTTTTCTAATGGGGAAGAATCCTTTGGCAAAATAGCTGGCTTTGGTTGCTTCAGATGGGCCACTCATCTGGAGGCACTAGCTGTTCCAACCCACAATGCACAACACAGGCACTCTTCTGGCTCTCAGCTTCTCGCTTGGGGTTGCAGTGGGCACAGTACCAAGTGGCTCCGTGGCTCCCCTGGGACTGGGGGTTAGGGAGAGGGAGCATGCCCCTTCAGAAAGTTGAAGGGCAGTCCAGGTTGAGGTAGGAGGAGACAGGTGGCTGCAGAGGCCTGGGACCTCTACAGTCCCTGAAATTCCCTGAAAGAAAGAGGATGTGGCCTTGGAAGGGCTCACCAGGCAGCCAGAAGGAGCTGAAGCCCTCTGTGGGTCCACTTGGAGTGAAGGTCAAAGGTAGAGGATGGAAACCATGTATGTGGGTCTGGTTGTGTTGTCTGTTTGCTGTGTGGTGCCGGAGATTGAACCCAGGGCATTCTACGAGTACACTCCAGCCCTGAGCTGCAGCCCCAGGCCCCCACAGCAGAGCAAGGCTGCCTGCCAGGCCTTCTGGACATCTGATTCTTTGAAAAGACTATGGTAGATTTGAAGGTGGTACTTTCCAAGAGTCTAGCACTAACCTGAAGGACGCCCGTGCCCTACAAGGCTGTCGCTTCTTCTTTCCTGCTGGGACTGTCCTGCAGTGTCAGCAGCCAGGCTGAAGTACTATCCTTTCCCCAAGCATAGGGAAGAGGATACAAGGTTCTCAGAGGGAGATGTGAGGCCTCTCAGAAGTCAGAATCAGGCCATAGCACAGGGGATCCCGAAGCCAGGCTCACAGGTCACAGAAAGGCAAGGACTCACTTGGGCTGCCCCACAGGTCAGTGCCTATCTGGCCTTTTAAGAAGAATATAAGTCGCCATCGTGGCAAAAGTTTTCCAGCATTCTGCTGCCTCAAACCTCACTTGGCCTGCAGGTGGGGCTGCGGAGAAATGGGAAATGGGCCCAGAGAGATCCACAGAGTCCTAGGGTTGGGGTCTAGAAGGACTTGGGACCCCTTTGAAGGGTTGCCTTGCCAGGGGTCAGGCCACTTTGGCTGGGACATGGCTGCACCAGCCTGGTTGACTGGGCTTCATGCCCACGTCAGGCACACCAAGGGGCAGGGACTTCTCGTGGCTCTGCAGCAGTGTCTCTGGAGTCTCCAGGTTGGACCAAGAAGGGCACTCCTCCTGGGAAAAGGGGACCTGATCGTCCTCTGGAGGGCCTGAGGGGTTGACGTCTGGGTCCCCCACTGAGGCATTGCCTTGGGAGGAGCACTGTGAGCTGTGGTCAGGGCTACTGCAGACGTTCACGATGCAAGTGACATTGACGTGGGTCCCGGGGCTGCCGTGGGAGGACTCTGTGAAGCACGAGATGAGAGGGGGTGTCAGTCTTGGGGTTCTGGAGTGGGGGTGTCTTTGCAGCTTCCTACTCCAGAGGCAGGTTCAGATGTACAGGAAAGTGGCAGGCGAGGAGCCAAGAGACCAGAAACTAGTTTATCTCTGTTATGGTACTTCTGACAAGCCATTGTTCGTATGCCTCTTGTTTCCTCACCTCCCAGATGCCCAGCCCAGCATTCCCCATGGCTAGGAGGAGATTATTATTATCTAAAGCAGATGAAAGTATTCCAAAACCCGAGGCTGTGGAGACGGCTCAGTTGGTAAAGTACCTGCCTTGCAAGAACTAGGACCTGAGCTTGATCCCCCAAACACACATGAAGATGCTGGGCATGCTGGCATACACTGTAATCTCAGTACTGGGGAGGTTTAGAGACAAAGATCCTTGGAGTTTGCCAGTCAGCTAGCCTAATTGGTAAGCTTTAGGCCAATGAGAAACCTTGTCTCAAAGAAGGTGGATCAAAGGATGGCGTTCTGGAGGACACCTGAGGTTGTCCTCTGCTCTCCACAGGTGCGCACACACACACGCACACACACACACACACACACGAGAGAGCACGAGATAGAAACACCTGTGTCCTAACAGAGACCTGAATTGAGCAGGAAATAGTTAGAGAGGACAGATTGAGCACTGGTGAAGAACGCTCTTCCATAACCCCTGGAAGGTGTCAGCCAGTGCAGACACACCACCTGCCACAGGTGAGAGCTCTCTGTCAGTGGCTAACAACAGTCTGTAACTCCAGCTCAAGGGGACTCCAATGCCTTCTTCTGACCTCCACGGGTATTGCATGACATGGGCATACTTACACACATGCAGGCAATACACTCATACACATAAAATTTTTTTTAAGATTAAAAAAAAATAAATGAGCCAGGTGTGGTGACACACACCTTTAATCTCAGCACTGGGGAGGCAGAGGCAGGTGGATCTCTGTGAGTTCGAGGCTGGCCTGGTCTCCATAGAGAATCCAGGCCAGCTGGGGCTACAGGGAAAAAGACCAAAAAGAAAAAGAATAAAATTCAGGGTTGACATTTGAAACTCCAGGACCAGAGGCATAATTCAGTGGGAGAGAGTTTGCCTTCCATGCACAAAATCTGGACATGAAGAAGCAGATGCAGCTGACAGGAGAGATGCCCTGCCTAGCCCCTAAAAGGCATCAGTTTCCTAAGTTGTGGAGGGATGGATGCTGAACTATCTAGGGATGAACAACAGGGGCTTGCCACACAACAGTCCTCCAAATGAGTTGCTGCCGCTACTGCCTCTGTATCTGCAGGACCAGCTGGTACCAATGGCAGAGGCAGCTGGACGTCCAGCCCAGCTCCTGACTCTGGAAGTTGGGACTCAGGGGAGCCTGGGATTGGATAAAGATGGCCAACGAATGTGCTCAGGAGCCACTGCAAATAGGCCAAGGAGAGGGACAGCTGAGGTCATGGGAGTGCAAAGAAATCTCCACCTGGCCTCCACAGCACTCACATGTCACCCAAAATCACCATGGCCTTCGAATGTAGTGAATAAGACATTGTGGGGGTGGATGGGGCACAGTTCCGAGGTTGACAGGCTCCCACAGTGGAGAGAGCTGTTGGTGGGAAGGAAGAAGGGGAGGGAAGAGCAATGGGGAAGCCAGGGAGACAGGGCACAGAGAGAAGAGGGGAGAGACGGAGCAGAGGAGAAAGCCGGCGGATATGCTCAAGGACTGAGGAGGAAGCCACAGCAGGACACCAGGGATGAGCGCCAGCCAAGAAAGATGGTCCAAGTTTATACTGAGCACATGCATTCACTCAACAAACACTGAAAGCCACCTGCTCAGTTTAGGGCCAGGTCCAGTGTGCTGGATAGCTTTAGTGTCAACTTGACACACCTGGGTTGAGGGAGCCTCAGTTGGGGAATTTCCTCTATTGGACTGGCCTGTAGCCATGTCCATGGGGCACCTGCTTGATCGTTGAGTGATGTGGGAGGGCCCAGCCCACTGTGGGTGGTGCCACCCCTGGGCAGGTGGGCCTGTGTTGCATAAGAAAACAGGCTGAGCAGGGGTCAGGGAAGCAAACCAGTAAGCAGCATTCCTCCATGGCCTGTGCTCCAGCTCCTGCCTCCGGGTTCCTGCCTTGGGCTCCTGGATGAACTGTGACCCGGGATATGTAAGCTAAATAAACCCTTTCCTCCCCAAGTTGGTAGTCAGAGTATTTTGTCACAGCAATGAAGAACAAACTAGGACACCCAGGGAGTTCTCAGGCTGGACAGAGTATCACACTGGTGAGTCTGGAGACTCTGATAAGGAACACAAGTGGGCATGTCAGCTCTGGGCAGGCAGGTGGTAAGGGTGTTGCACGCAGAGAGTGTAGCATGGGCATGGGCAAGAACAGGGCACAGCAGTCAGTGAGGCAGTAAAATGTGGGTGCTGGAGGGGGCTGTGTATAGGGTTGCAGGGGTGGCTGTAGCTGTCAGCAGAATGTGGTTGCTGGAGAGGGCTATGTATGGAGTGCAGGGGTAGCTGTCCCCCATCAGGTGCCCAATGTGGCACGGTGCCACAATCTCATCAGCCTGCCAAGGAGGCACCACAGCTCATCTCCAGAGGAGTAAACAGAAGCTCATGGGGGCTAAGGAGCCTGCGGGGATTCTCAGGACCACAGAGCAATGACAAAGTTCAAGTTCATGGTTAGTTCCTGTTACCCCACCGGCCAGTACTGGCCAGGTGAGGGGGCACAGGTTAGGAAGACCTGACCTTTCCATTCAAAACAAATCCAAGAAACTCCAGTATTCTGGGGAACCCTACCAGGAATTCACTCCACTATGGGCACTAGAGATGCCAACTGTGGAGCCAGCTATCACAGATCAAGTCTAGGGCAAGATGGGGACTGAGTAACTGGACCAGGGTTCCCACAGTCCTGTTGGCTCTGGCCCAAGCCAACCCCCAATGAGCTTCCGTGAGTAAAGCTTAGAAACTATTTCTTCATTCATGTCCCAACCCCAGAGCTCCACAGCTCACAGCCCAGGCCTGACCCCTGGCGGTTTGGGGAACTAGCTGTGGGCCCTGAATAAGTTGATTAACTTCTCTGGGCCTCTGTTTCCTTATCTGTAGAATGGGATGTCGATGGTAACAGTCTCTCAGTACTGATGTACAGGTTGATTTTGTGAAGGCCAAATGCCTGGGACAGTGGCTGGGGCACGACAGCCCCTCAGGAAGCATAGCTGTTATTTATGACTAGCCAGATCAGTCCTGGGCCTGGGGATGTGGGCATGAATTGAAGGAGCCCAGCACACTGGGAGTCATGCAGTCTGGTGAAGGGAGGAGAGAATCCTGTGGAAGGGAGGCAGGGCCTTGGGGAGCCCCGAGGAGCAGCCAGATGGATAGCATGGGGAAGGAGTGGTTCAGGAAGACACCCCACTGGATATGGAAGCCTTGAAAGACAAACTGGAAATGTCTGGTATGAAGGAAGGGTGAACGGGTGAAAGGATCAGCGAGGGTCAAGATGAGCTGGATCCTAGATGTTCAGAGTGGTTCCACTGCACAGGAGCAAGGAAGAGGTGGTCGGCTAGGGGCAGCCAAGACTGGCTTCACAGGATTGCCCTGAAGAAGGACCAGGTAGCAATCAGGCGGGAAATATAATTGAGCCTCACTTAGAGCGAATTGACTCAAGATCTTGCAAGTTGACCTTGGTGGAAGTAATTCACATTCCACAGAAGCTGTGCTTAGCATTGCAAGCCTGGACCTTTTCCAGAGTTATTGACATGCAGTGGGATCCTCTCCCATGATGCTGGGCTACCAAACACCACACTTGCTGGCCCGCTAGCCTCCAGGAGTCTCATGTGTGAAAGGCACTTTCCACTTGGAGTCTTTTCAACTGGTGATGGATGTATAGGCACCTGGTCCCAGCATAGTTTGAGGCACATTTGCCCAGGGTGGGGATGAGCCAGTTGGCACCTGCCTCTTACCTGAGCCCCTGGAACCAGCCCAGGCTTCCTGGGACTCTCTGGCCTCCTCCATAATTGGTGGCTGTGTCTGGTCCCTAGAGGGTGCCCTCCTGTCCCCAGCGCTGGCTGAACTCTCCAGGGAACTGCTGCTGGAGCTGGGTGCTGCGGTCAGCAGGTGTTGCTGCTCCAGACCCGGCGCACCCCGAGCGCTCTCATCAGGCAGGTGAGGCTAGGAGGAGGAAGAAGAGCGTCAGTCTACTCGCGGGTACCTTTTCCTCCTCGCCACCCCCGTCATCGGCTCTTCACAGTTTGCACGTTTCTGCCCACGACACACGTTCTTTCCACACAGGGCACTTTTTGAGGGGTGTGATTTTTTTTGCGGTTTTGGTGGGTGTTGTTAGTGGTCTTGTTCACCAAACAGGTAAGAGCAAGGTTTTCACCCTCATAAGGAAATGGGAAAAATCGACTGTCCTCAGCCGGGCAGCCAAGAGCTGGATTCCGGATTCAGACCACCTGGGTGTAAATCATGACTCTAGCACTTATTCATTCTGGATGTAACCCTAACCTCTCCGGGCCTCCATATTTTCATGTACAAAGGAAGAATAATAACCCAGTCATTGGGCTCTTGTAAAGAATGAAGAACTGGGAATTTTCAAGTGCCAAGAATAATGCTTATTGTATCGTAAACCACACGCACGGCTTCATTAAATGACATCTGCATGAAGCACTTACTGAAGGCTGGACCCAGCTGCTACTTACTGTGGTGTAACTTGCCAGCTAAGAGTGGTTCTCATGGTTTTAAATGGTTTCATTTTTAAAAACTAGCCTTTCTGTCTGGAGATATGACTCAGTGGGTAGTGTTTATTTAGCATGCACAAAGCCCTGAGTTTGATCCCCAGTAGTGCATAAACCAGGTATGGTGGTACATGATGGTAATCTCAGTGTTACAGGGATTGAGGCAGTCAGACAGAAGTTCAAGGTTATTCTTGGCTATATAGAGTTCAAGGTCAATATGGGCCACTTGAGTCTCCGTCTAAAATAAAAATAAAATTCCCCAAACTCAAACTTCAAGTTTTAGTGTCCATAAATAAGTTTTTTGGGGGCTGGAGAGATGGCTTAGTGGTTAAGAGCACTGGCTGGGTCTTGTAAAGGACCCAGGTTCAGTTCTCAGCACCTACATGACAGCTAACAACCATCCATAACTCCAGTTTCAGGGAATCCAATGCCCTCTTCTAACCTCTGCAGGCATTGCATACATGGGTACACACACACACACACACATACATATATATGTAAACAAAACACTCATACGCATAAAAATTAATTAATTAATTAAATGTTTGTTGGAACCCAGGCACCATCACTACAGATTGATGGTGGCTTTCCAGACACAAAGGTGGGTCTGAGTAGCTGTGTTAGCTACTTTTACTCTCTGCTCCTTCCCAGAGAATCTTGCTCACCCTTTGTTCAATGACTCAGTTCAGTTCATGGAAACCTTTCATCTGGCCCCTCACTAGACTGTCTTGGTGGCTCCCCCTTCCCAGGCACCCAGAGGATGTTCTGTGCCTTCCCTGAGCCTTCTTCCTGCAAGATGGTAACGGCGAAGCCTTAGAGGACATAAGTACCACCTAGTGCCAAGCTCTGTGCCAGAGTCACATCGGCATCCTCTCTCCCAGCAGCCCAGTACAGATGTGGAAACTGAGGCTCAGAAAGACTGAGCTAGTTGCTCAAGGTCAAAGTGCAGCTGAGCTAAAACTCTTGGTGCTTTTATGAGTGTCTATGGTTCAGCTCTGGAGGCTCAAGATAAGATCCCTGTCCCAATGCTGGGGATACCTGGAAATTCTATTCCAAGGCCATTTTCTGGTCACACCAGCTGGACAAGTGCCCAGGAAAGGGCTAGGACCCTGTGGTCTTCCTCTAGAGGCACAATACCAACTGTGGTCTGAGCAGAGGCAAGAGGTTGGCTGTCCCCTCTGGGGCTGGTGCACTCTGGCTAGTCATTGGCACCCCCAACTCATGGCCCTGCATGCTGTTGCTGTGACTTCGCAGATATCTGGATGTGTCCCATAGCCTTGATTCTTTGAATGCAGCCCAGCCTACAACCTCTGACTCTGGGCTGCAAGGATCGTGTGCAAGCTTTCTCCACAAGGCCACAAAAGCCCAGAGTGAATGAGTCCTATTCTCAGAATCACACAGCTAGCCAGTGGCCTCAGCAAGAGAGCCCAGGCCAGCATGTCAGAGATGCAATCTGCACACTGCATCCTCCTGCCTCCCCAGGAGACCTGCCAACCAGGCACCTCAGTCTGGAAGGGATGGAAGACATTCCAAGCTCACAGTCTGACCTTAGCCATTACCCCATCCCTATCCCCCAGCCCTACAGAAGAGTTCATTAATGTCACTCCACAAGTTCCAGAAGGGGCTTTTCTGGCTGGGCCCTACCCTTTTGCTTGTGGCTAGAGCCAGGCAGAACAGAATCCCCTAAAGGTCACAGGCAGCCTCCCTCTGCAGAGCCAGAAGCTGCAATATTCAAGCACAGACACCATCAGAGTCCGTTGTCTCAGGCTGGGACCCCACTAGGTGAACACCAAGGAGACTCACTCAAAATGTAGGACCCCAGTTTGCCCAACCTCTCCCACAGCTGTGGACCTAGCTCTGCTGTGTGGAGCTGAGACCCAGCAGAGCCATGGTTGGCTCCTGTAGGTCTCCAGGTTGGAGGTATGTGGAGTGTGCACACACATGTCTGTGTGTGTAGTGCCATGTGGCCCTGAATGCAGAGGAGAGAGTATGTGCTGGGTAGGGAGAAGGACTCCTAGCTTTGCATCCCAGCCACACCCATCAGTCGCACCACCTCAGGACAGCTACTTAAGAGTCTCTGGGCCAAGCGTCTAGGCTATGAAGTTGGGGGGTGGCGGAGGTAATCACACAGCCTCTGTGTCACAGCCAGGCTGCCATCAATTCAGGACTGACAAATGTTTGTTTTAGTGACTAACCATGAGCCCATGTGCATGTCTGGGGGTGGCGTGGGTGAGCTCACATGCTGTTCTTCTAAACAACCCTGCTTTTCCTTGCCCTCAGAGAAGGAGCTGAGTCACTGCCAGTCCTGCCTAGCAGCCTCCCTCTAGCACATTAGGACACTGCTTGCGGGGCTCCCAGCAGGGCCCTGTGATAGCCCATTGAGGGTGTATAGGCTAGACCAAAGGCAGCAGCTAAGGGCTCCTGAGCCAGATGACCAGCCTTGCAGGGGGAGGGCAGGCCCTGCTGGGAGGACCATGCCTGGGACAGCTTTGGAAGTTTCAGCCAAACTCACTTGCTCTTACGGTTTAAGAACTAGGACATACCACAGCCCAAGCAATTAACCTCCTGGGCCTCGGTTTCCTCATCTCTACAATGAGAATCTGGGGTACCCCATTCAGGAGAAGGGGTGAGGAGTCTGACATAGAACAGGGGAAGAGCCTGGCTGGGCTCAGTCCGGGAGAGTTGGCCTGTTTCTTCCTAACCCTGTGTTCTGAAAGGTGGTTAGGGGGTCAGTCAGCTGGCTACAAGGGAGTGCTTAGACCATAGAAGCGAGAACCCTCCCCAAATCAGGGCTGGGGTTTTCTCCCCTACAGTCCTGGTTACCAGCCGTCTACAGGACTCTGCAAAATGCCTTCCAAAATGACTCAGCCAGGGAAGAGGAAGTGGGGCTGCCAGGGGCCACGCCCAGGACTGTTCAGGGCAGAGATGGGAAATACTGGGTTGGGAAAGAGAACACTGGGTTGCTGGGCAGAGCTGAAAGGGGCACCAGCTGTACATGCAGCAGTGGTCTGTCAAGGAACTGGGGCTAAAGAAAGGGAAGTGTGGGGAAAGAACTGTGCTGTCCCCACTGAACTGCTAAGCACTGAGCAAGGAACAGGGCTCAGAGTTCAGAGACAATCCAGGAGACCAGCCTCAGGCAAGTCATTACCTCTGGAATTCACTGCTTCTTTTTGTGCTGCTGGGAATTGAACCTAGATCCTCACTTGTACTAGGCAAGAACACTTCCACAGAGCTATATTCTTAGTCTTTTTTGTTTGAGATAGGATCTCATGTAGCCCAGGCTGGCCTTAAACTCTGCTAAGGAGAGGAAAATGACCTTGAACTTTTTTTTCTTTTGGTCTTTTTGAGACAGGGTCACCCATAGCCCCAGCTGGCCTGGAACTCACTATGTAGACCAGGCTGGCCTTAAACTCACAGAGATCCAACTGCCTCTGCCTCCTAAGTGCTGGGATTAAAGGCGTGCACTACCTTGAACTTTTAAACTCTTTAACGTCCAGCCTCCATTCCGTAAGAGCTGGGATTACAGACGCATACCACCGTGCCCATATGCTGCTTCCTGACTGTGTACCCCGCCCCCCCGGGAAGGGAATCAACAGAAGAGGAGGAGCACAAGAACAGGGGACTCACCGCCTTGGCTTCTCTTTGTAGGCAGGAAGGTTTCTCTGTGAAGAGGAGAGAGGGGACAAGTGACGGAGTGGGATTTCTTTGTCACATCTGTTCTAACTAGGACAGTGTGGCTAGGGTAGGGTGGGCCCAGCCCAGGGAGCAGTGGCCTGCCAATAAGGTCCACAGAGGAACCCACCCAACTCTCAGCCTCGTCCCCATCCATCCCCCAGCCCAGCCTTAGCTGGATCCCTGCCCTGCCCTCCCTTCAGTCACACTCTACCCATTGAGACCAAGCCCAGCTCACAGGCCACTGGCTCACAGAATCTCAGAGACCCTAGGCTTCCTGTATAGGAATCCTGAACTCCTACCCATCAGGATAGCCCTGACCCTACCTTCTACTAGACAGGCTTCCAGATCCATCTAAGCCCAAGGCAGGGGGGTGCCATGTACTGCACCCCGCAGCGGCTGCCAGACAAGTCAGGGGGTAGGGGATGGAGACAAGGAAAGAATGAAACCTTACTTCTCTTCTGGGTCAGGATAAAGCAATTCACCAATCCTATCATCAGCAGACCCAGGGCAGTCACCCCCACAATCAGTCCTAGGAAGAAGGGAGATGCTTAGAAAAAAGATGTCAGGGATGTCTGTGACCCAAGGTTACTGGGGCTGTTGCTGAGCAGGGTGAGTTGAGGCTGAGGTCCTCAAATTCAGGGATGAACCAAGTTCATCTGTGAGCTACATGCAGCCTGAAACCACAGTCTGAAGCCTCAGGCTTGATGCTATCCTAACCCCAGGAAGGAAGCCAGAGATACAACCAGCCCAAGGTCTGTTTGACTAAACAGGACCCATGTCCACATTCAGGTGGAATGCCGACCCCATGTCACCCCACCCAGGGATTTGCTATGACAGCATCAGGCCTCAGGAAACCTGGCTCCCTGGCATCCGTCTACATCTGCTCTGTACAGAGCTCAGCGTCCAGGTCCTCCTACAAGGAGCCTTTGGGAAGCAAGAGAAGAGAGGGGGAGAAAGGGAGAGACCCTCTTCTTATTCGTATATATATTTAGTATTGGAATGAAACCCCACGCTAGTCAAGCACCCTACCACTAAGCTACAGCCTCAGCCCCTTTTTAAATAGTTTTATTTTAAGACGGGGTCTTACTAAGTTGCCCAGGCTGGCCTTAAACTCGTTCTGTACCCCAGGCTGGCCTTGAGCTTGTGACTCTCCTGCCTCAGCCTCCCAAGTGACTGGGGCTATCAAGCTCAGCTGGAATTATCTCTGGATACCAGGACTTACCTATTGGAAGAGAGATGCTGTCCTTGGTGCTGGGTTGGCTGATAGGCGATCCCATGGAAGTACTTAGAATTGAGCTGGGCTCTGACTCTGGCTCCAGCTCCTGGGACTGGGATCTTGTGGGCTGTGGCAGAGATCTGTAGGCTGTCCCTGGGGTGGCACTCAAAGTGGGAGACTCAGACGCACAGACCGCATCCACGCTAGCATTGCCGGGAATGGCCACCAGGCTACACCTGAGGGAGCAGAGGCTTGGTCAGGAGGCCTCAGAGGACAGAGGTCATTCCAGGGAGCCAGGCTAGAGGGCACAGATCCTAGCAGGCAGGATGGGGCAGTGAGCATAAGCCATGCCTTCTTAGCAGCACCCCATCCCATCCCACTGGGTTCTGTTCTGTCCAAGCACTCCATATCATCTGTTATTGTTCCCAGAACCCAACCCCAGAGAAACCAGCCTAGGCAGCAGTGGCTGTCAAGCAGCTCTCTGTCCTGGACCCCAGTTGCCTGGGGCCATCCCCACTCTGCTCCTTCAGAATCAAGGGACTCCATACTCACGTGCGGTGGGGCCTGCACACATCTGTGGATGATGTGGTGTCAGAGAATGTTCCTGGGGCACAAGCTCTGCATACCACATCTTGGTTTGGAGTTCCTTCAAGAGACAGTTCAGAGCTTGTCAACAACATGAACACTCCATGCAACAAGGAGGTTCTTAGCACCAGATCTACAAGGGATCTACAAGTGGGATCTACATGAGGCCTGTTTGTACCTCTCTCCCTTAACACACACATACATACAAACATACATACATACATACATACACACACATATATATGTACACACACACATGCATGTACATGAATACCTACACATGTACATGGGACGTCTCTCCAGGGCATGGGGGTCACCTTCTTGCTTCATCTATAGAGTTTCTAGCAACTTAGAGCTTAATATGACCTGTGTCTGTATCTATGTCAGGCCCTAGCGCATAGCAGGTGCCTACAGGGTGAGACCAGCTAGGAAATGGATATACAGATGCACCTGGAAGCCACTGGGGACATTCCCAGATGGGGCTGAGGGGTCAAGGCCTGTGACATCATGGCAAAAGAGGCCAAGGGGTCCTTACTTGTGCTGACCACACCGAAGCCAGGGCCACACTTGCTCAGCCTCATGCACTGCCGGCAGCTGTCGGTCGTCAGCAGCGCACAGTACATGCCTGCCTTGCAGGCACACACGCGGTTCTGCTGCCGAGTACAGGTCTGTGTCTTCACCTGGTCTGGAGGAGGGAAGGGTAGCTGGAGTCAGTGCTGCCTCCAATCGCCAGCTCTGCCCCTCCCTGCCAAGTCCACTCCCACAGCTAGTGGGCCCCCAACACGGGGCCCAAAGGACCCTGGACACATTGTCCTTGGGCTTTTGTCTATACCCCCAGTTCCACCTCAGTGTGAGAAAGCATGTCTGGTTTCCTGGGCTGCACTTCCTCAGCTCCGACATAGACATGCTTCTCCCCACAGCCCCCCGCTTTGGGGACCACATGAAGATTTGATGGGGTCTACAAGGAAAATGCCATTTGTAAGTGGTAAAGTGGCCAGGCATGGTGGCACACATTTGTTATCCCAGCACTCGGGAGCTAAGGCAGGCAGAAGATTGCAAGTGTGAGGTTAACCTGGGCCATGGAGGGACATCTAGGCAAGCCTGGGTGAGTTAGTAAAACCCCATCTCCAAAAAACAGAAAAAGGGGAGCTGGAGAGATGGCTCAGCAGTTAAGAGCACTGGTTCTTAACAGAGGATCTGGGTTCAATTCTCAGCACCCAGCTGAGAATTTTCAGCTAACAGCTGTCTTTAAGTCCAGTCCCAGGGGACCTGACACCCTTTTCTGACCTCCGCAGGCATTGTAGGACACGGGTGCACTTACACACATGCAGGCAATACACTCATACACATAAAATAAAAATAGTAAATAAAATATTTTTTTAAACAAACAAAAAAGCTGAAAGCTGGGCCTGTGGGCTCAGGCCTATAATCCCAGCTACTTAGAAGGTGGAGGCAGGAGGTTCAGAAGTTCAAGGCCAGCCAGAGCCACTTATCAAGACTCTGTCTCAAAATAAAAGAGCTGGGGAGGGTTGGAGCTCAGTGAAAGAGTGCCTGCTCTATGTTCAGTTCTGAATGCTACAATTAAAATAAAATTTAAGCTGGGCGTGGTGGCACATGCCTTTAATCCCAGCACTTGGGAGGCAGAGGCAGGCAGATCTTGGTGAGTTCAAGGCCAGCCTGGTCTACATAGTGAGTTCTGGACAGCTGGGAGACGCTGTCTCAAAAAGACCAAAAATAAATTAAAAAAATAAATTAATAAATTAATTAATTTAATTAAATAAAATTTAAAAGATCTGGCAATGGACGTAGCTCAGTGGAAAAGTACTAGCTTTGAATGGACAAGACCCTGGGTTCCATCTGAATAAACATACACATGTGGTAAAGAGTGGTCTCCTGGGTTGTGTCTGTGGTATACTCCTTTAATCCCAGGAGGCAGAGGCAGGCAGATCTCTGTGAGGCCAGCCTGATGTAGAAAGTTTTAGGTCTGCCAAGGCTACATAGTAAGATTGTCTCAAAACACAAACAAATAAACAAAATAACAGCAAAACCCACAACGGAGTGGTCTCCTGCCACTCACATTCTGGGGAATAAAAACTGCTGGCCCAGGGTAACCCACCAACTGCTACTCAGGGGCTGAAGGGCTGAAGATGCTGGGACCATTTCTCCCAGGCCACTCACCAGGGCCACAGCGAGAACCACAGCTCAGACACGTGGGGAGCCAGTTCCAGAGCTGGGTGTAGGTGCTGTCCTCGCAATCGGCACACACGGTGTCTGAAGTCTTGGTGCAGACGTGTTTCACATGCTGGCCTAAGAGAACAAGGAACAGGGTTCTCAGCAGGAGGGAGGCTCTGCCAGGACCTGGAGCCCCAGGGTTCTGAAGCCCAGTCAGGAAGGCTCTTTGATGAATTTTCAGCTCCTCCATGGACTCATCAAACATCTGGTGGGCCCTAGCCATCTTTCCCCCGCTGACCCCCCTCTCCTTATAAAGTATCTGCTACTCTGCTGTCTCCAGGTATCTAAAATTCCACCACTGGAAAATCTATATTAGTCAATCACACTATAGTAAGAATTGGTTTGCCAGCTCCTCTTTTTGCTGATAATTGGTTAAAGTTCTCTTCCTAGATAAAGTTCTCTTTCCTAGAGAAAAGGGGACGGTAAGAATGTCATACCTGGTTCCTATCAAGGCCAAGGGCATGGGATTCCTGAAAGCCTGGAGAAAGGCATGATGGGGGAAGAGTGGAATTTCAGGGCAAACCTTTAAGGTGCTTACTCTTTTGAGCCCAGTTCCTGTTCCCTCTTCCTGCTTCACCAAGTTCACTGCTATGTTAATCTAGTAACTTAAAGAGACTCTGCCAGTTAATAGAAGAGCACTAACCCGGGGTCTCTCAAAGCGGCTGTAGAAGGAAACAAGTGCATTTGCTCCCACCCACATCTCAGGTTAATGGGGCAAAGCCCCCAGTGGTTCCTAGACTCTGATAACAAAACTGAACTCCTTGCCCTGACTCTGCTCATCTCTTTTAATCTAATGCAATTTATCATTACTCTGTGTGTATGTGCATGTACGTGTGTGTATGTGTACTAGCATGCACGTGTCATGGTGCACACGTGGAAACCAGGAGACGACCTTCAGGAATCTGTTGTTTCCTTCCACCATTGGTTCCAAGGATTGAACTCAGGTTGTTGGGCGTGTGTGGCAAGCGCCTCTACCTGCTGAGCCATCTTGCTGGCCCTTGTCTCTTCATCCTCATCCTCCTTCATTCTCCCCCTCTCTTATTCTGGACCACATGCCCTGGTCTTGCTGTTCCTCAAGTTCACCCAGCTGTCTCCTACCTGGGGGCCTTGGCGCTGCTATTTCCACCCGGCCTGCTATCCCCCTATGTTTGTGTGGTTTGCTCCCTCAACTCCTGCAGGGCTCAGAGAGACTTTCCCAGACAACCCCACCCTGTCTGTCTCCATCAGCCCTTCCTGCCTTCCTTCCATCCCAGCAGCCCCTGGCAGCCAGCACCACACATCTTGTAGGTAATTTGTCTGTGTTCTCCATTAGAAAGCAAACCCACAAGGCTGGAGAGATGGCTCAGCAGTTAAGAGCACTGGCTTCTCTTGCAGAAGACCCAGGTTCGATTCCTAGCACTCATATGTCAGCTAACAACCATCCATAATTCTAGTTCCAAGGATCCAGCACCCTCTTCTGACCTCCACAGGCATTATACAACACAGGTGCACTTACATACATGCAGGTAATACACTCATACACATAAAATGAAAATAATTATTAAAAAAAAAGAAAGCAGACCCACAAAGACCAGGATTGTGTCTACCCTGCATTCTGCTCTGCCCCCAGAGGGCGCTACACACAGTAGGTGTTTTAAGAATACTACACAGGTGAATATATACACCTGATTGGCTACTTAGCACTAGGGGTCAGTTTCTGGGCCCTCCCCACTGGAGCCAGGGCTCAGGTCCACCATCTGTGAAATGAGTACACGTTCATTGACTCAGTAAATATATGCACAGGGCACCTCCATGTGCTGGCCATGTGCCATATGCTGAGGATTCAGTGGAGATCATAGTCCCTGCCTCAGAGGAGGGCGCAGTGGGCCTAAAAGAGGAACCAGGCCATCACTAAGGAAAAAAAAAAAAGCAAGCTTAGCTTATGTGATACTAGGGGCTAATAGGAGCATAAGGGAGACTTGTGGCCTTGCGGGGGAGTGTGGGGCAGCCCTCCAGAGCAGGGAACAACTGATCTAGGCTCTAAAACACAGGCAAGTGTTAATCAGAGAGAACGCATTAAAAAGTGCCCAGCAGAGGGGACAGCAAATGCAAAAGCCCAGATAAGAGGGATCATAGGCCCTAGAGTGTACGCCCCTAGAAGCAGCCCAGAGAGAGTTGAGGGTTCTGCTCCCCATCCCTGGACAAGCACCCTACTCCAGGGTACCACCCCCCAAAGACCCAGTGGCTGCTGCTTACCAGGCGGACACGTGGCACAGCACATCTGGACCATGTTGTTGTAATATTCCTTTGGCCCCTGGCAACTGCTTCCGGGACTCGGCTTGTAAGGTGTTGAGGTGACCTGGAAGGGGAAGGCGAGGCAGCCATTAGTGTGGCCACTCTGGGCTCCAGCCCCAGAATGGGATTTCTTGCATAAGAGAGGAGGGAAGCCAAGCAAAGGAGAGTCCTAGCCTTTGTCTCCTTGGCCCCCCTCTTCAGCACGTGTACTTGTGTCAGGAGGTGGAGGTGCTGAACAGGCGGGTGGGTTGCTTCAGGCTTCCCTCCTGCTGGGCGGATACCAACAGAGCTCAGAGAGGATGTGGGCTCTGGAGACAGTGGCCTTGGTCACCATGTCAAAGTCCTCAGCATAAAGCTAATCTCTGCCTTAGATGGCTTCCCAGCCCTCTGGCACCTGAGAAACAAACATCTCTCCATCCTTCTAGCTGAGGTCTGCCTCCTCCTGGAAGCCCTCTCTGACTCTCTGGGACCTGGTATAAGCTCTTCCACCTCTGAACAGTTTTATGGCCCCTTCTAATAGCATGTCATTACTCTGCAATGACACTGTGTCTTGTGTATGTGTATGCACACAGTTGTGTACATACATGTCCACACACCCACACTGTGACTCATAGGGCAAATGCCAATGGCCTTGTCTTCTGTAGACCCAAGCCTCTGATGCAGGTTATGGCAGATCTGATTCAGGAAGTGGATATGAATGGAAATGGACCACAGTGAACATTCTACCTGTGTGTAAGCACTGTGGTCCTACAGGCCTTGGTGGCTTGGACCAACAGAGGCTCACTTAGACCCCTGTCACCAGCAGGACAGCAGCAGCACTGGCTGACAACAGCTCTCCAACCAAGAGGCAGCATCCTACCCTCAAAGGGGGACCCACGCTGGTGCAATTCCAAGCCCCTGTTCAGTAGCACCACGGGGCCCTGCAGGGTGGTTTCCCCCTACCCTGTCCTCTCCCTGCCCTGTCCTGCCACCATGTGGTCGTCCTTGAGAGCTCTCTCCCATCACAAGAGAGCCCTGCCTCAGGTTCTGCTCCAGTTAGCTCTCCCAACGACCGACCAAAAATGGCTGTGGTCATTTGTATAAACAGGAACTAGAGGCATAAAGAGGGCAGGTCACCCACCTGAGGTCTCAGAGCCAGTGATAGAGATTTGAATACAGGTCCTGTCTGCCTCTGTTGCTCATGAGCTTAGTGTCTGTGCCAAGTGCCTCAGCAAGGAATGAAAGAAAGGGAGGTGGGGCTGGAGTGGCTCAGCAGTTAAGAGTGCTTACTATGGCTCTTGCACAGGGATCAGTTCCTAATACTTACATGGTAGCTCTAGAGCCCTCTTCTGGTCTCCCCAATATATATACATACATACATATATACAGGAAAAACACTTGTATGCATAGAATAAATAACTCTTAAAAAACATAAGAGTAAAATTTAAAAAAAAAAAAAAAGGAAGGGGCGGAGAGAGACAGGAAACGGCACCCACAAGGCAAAGAACCAACAACTGACAAGCACGGTGCCCTCCCTCCCTCAGACCTCCAAGTGGCCAGGGCCTGTCCCAGGACCCCTAGGCCACCTGCCTGTCCCAGCCTTCCTTTTAAAGGACTGGGGGTGGCAATCTGAGCATTCAGAGACAAACGTGAGCTAGCCACCTCTCCAAGGCTGTGAGTTCACTCAGAGTGACACAGCCATACACATCAGGCAAACGAGTGTGGGTTTACAAGAGCAAACAGGAGGGTGTGCACACACACACACACACCCAAGTCCGTCTTCAACTCCCTCTGACATCACTTGGAAATGATCACAGATGGTTCTAGGTCAAACCTGAGGGCTGGGTCATACCCTCATGGTGCCTACAACTGTAATCATGTGGTCAATAGGAGCTCAATAAACCTTTACTGAAGGAATAACAGTGAAAGTCCTCTCAGACTCTGCAGATAAAAGTAGAGAGTTTGAGAGGCCTGGTTTCATTTTCTTACTCTACCACATAACAGTCATATGATCACAGGCAAGCATCTCAATATCTCTGGACTTCATTCCTAACTAAATTTCATGGGCACAAAAGAGATGCACAAAATATCTAACGATCAGCATAACACAGGTGCTGGCCAGTCAGTCACTCTAGACATCAGCTGTAAACAAGCCAATCAGAGAAGATGCTAGCTATAATACTGGGCACTGATGGCCTGTATAGACGTGGACAGACTCCCATCATCCGAGATTGGGGGAGGCTCCCGCTGCCTTCTCTCCTCATCCTTAGCATTGCCTGGGGTAGGGGGGTATCACTGTTCTGTCCAGCGCCATGGTCCCTGCAGTGAGTGATTAAGCAGACCTGTCACCCAGCATTCATCCTTGCTCAGCTGCCAAATTACTCAGGGATAACAGCTGGAAGCCATCAGGAGCCATGACCCATGAGGCTGGGGTTTCCTGCTGTGGACAGACTGTGGCTCTTCTGGCCCCATGCCTGTACCCTGATTGTCCCATGGTCTCTCTGGCCACAGCCCATACATGCCTTCAGAGTGCATCCCCCGACCCTTGTAAGCCAATGCCCAGGCTCCATCCTGCACGACCCACTCAGACCCAGAACGCTGCCTCCTCCTTGTGCTCACCCAGAGCCTGAGGATCCTCTGTGCTAAAGAGGGGTGCTCAGCAGTTGCTACTCTGAGCAGAAAGCTCTTCCAATGCCATTCCCTGGAAGAGGGGTGCTGGCCGTGGCACCAGGGCCAGAAAGCCTGAACCTGGATACATTTGCCACCTCGGTCTACCCCTGAGTGCCCCCAGCAGAACAATCAGCTCCCAGTCTCCCAGAGAAACCCTTCTCTGGTTAGGGAATAACACCCTGACAGGCTCAGAGGGTCTGATGGGAAAGGGCCTTGCCTCAGCCAAATTGGACTGGCTCAGTGATCCATCCATGAACAAGGGCTCCTGGTGGCCAGCTGGACCCCACAGACCTGAGCTCCTCCCTCCCATGGCCAAGCTTTGCCATAAATAACTTCATGGGCACTTCCTCCTGCTGCTGTAGAAGATCCCAGCGCCAGCAGCTGGTAGAGGGGCCCAACCTCCCTCAGCAGCCTTCAGGCCTGTTTATCCTCTTGGACAGAGAAAAAAAAAAAAAAAAAAAAAACCACAGCCTTGTCAGTGCTAAACAATGAGGAACAGAAAGCCCAGCACAACACAGAACAAAAGGTCACTCCCTCCAAGGGGCCCACCCCAGAGCCTAAATCATAGCCCTGGAAGATGGGCCTGAGGGACCATGCAAGCAGAGGGCAGGAGTAGATGGAGGTCCCCAAATGCAGTAAACAGCCTCTGAGACACACTGGACTGGGGAGGGCTCTTGGCTTTTGCTCTGAGTTGGAGAGGAGGCTCAGATTCACCCCCATCTCCAGTTCATGGGGGATCTAACACTGAGAAAAGAGGAAATGAATGAGACTGCACTTGACACTGTCAGCATGTTTACCAGAGCCGGTTGTTCAAAAGACAAGACCTCAGGTCAGAGTGGAAGTCAATGGTAGGAATCCATGCCTGGTAGAGAGACTGGAAAGGGAAGGGAGGGAGGGAAGAAAGAAGGATGTTTGGACGGGTAGAGGGAGGGGGAAGGAGGGATGGAGGGAGGGAGTGAATGAATAGATGGGTGGGTAGATGGATGGAGGGATAGATGGTTATAGATGGGTGGAGAGAAAGAAGAATGGATTGCTGGATGGATAAAGAGATGGCGAGACAAAGATGGGTGGGTGGATAGAAGGATGGATTGAGAAATAGGTAGATGGAGAGATGGATTGATGGATGAAGGAGGGATAGATGGGGAGATAGATTGGTGAGTGAATGGATGGGGATGAATGGATGGATGGAAGGGTAGATGGATGAATATAGATGGGTAGAGAGAGAAGAATGAATTGCCATTTGGGTGAAGAGATGGACTGAGAGTGGATGGATGGATGGATGATGTTGGAAGGATGGATGGAGAGATGGGTGGATAGATGGGTAGAAAGAAAGAATGAATTGCTGTATGGATGAAGAGATGGACTGAAAGATAGTGGATAGATGGATAGTGGGTGGATGGATGGATTGATGGATGGAAAATGGTGGGAAGGATAAAGAGACAGATTGGTGAGTGAGTGGATGTATGGACTGAAAGATGGGTAGATGGAGAGATAGATGAATAGATGGGTGATGGTGGGAAGACTGGAGAGACAGATTGGTGGTGGATGAATGGATAGAGAGATTGATGGATGAATAGGTGGGTAGATGGATGGATAAATGGATGGACAGATGTATGTAAGAATGGAAGGATGGATGGATGGATGGGTGAGTGGATGGATAGATGGAGAGATAGATGGATGGAAGTAGAGGTGAATGGATGGGTGTGTAGAGGAAGAGATGGAAAGATTGACAGAGATGGATGAATGATGGATGGATGGTGGATGGCAAGCCCCCGGCAGGGATCTATGACTGAGGCAGGAAGGGGACAGGATGGGGAAGGTGACATGGAAGACTTCCAGCTTGTGGTGGAATATATCCTCAGACCTACCCTTTACATGAGCTAGAAGGGCTGGTGGAAGCTTAGACCAAGGAAAAACACCCACTGTATGGGAACCATGCCGGATGTGTTCATATGCTTTTTCCCATTTTTCTCTATGTACTGGAGCAATCGGGTTAGTACAAGCCCATTTCAGAGGGACAGAAATAGAGGAGCCAGAAGATTCAAAATGCAGGTGGCAGACTGGGAAGCTATAAGCTATATCAGCTTCAGAACCCCCTGACAATTTTATACCCTATGATCCTTTTGTGTGTGTGTGCATATGTATGCACCTGTTCATATGTGTGCAAGTGCATATTTATGTGTGGATGCGTGTGTGTGTGTGTGTGTGTGTGTGTGTGTAGGCCAGAGGTCCACCTCAGGTGTTGTAACCTCCTCAGGCCACCTTACCTTGTTTTTGAGACAAGGTCTCTCATTAGACTGGGGCTCTGCCTATTTGGCTAGGTTGGTTGGCCAGCAAGTCCCAGGGACCTGCCCATCTCTACCTCCCCAAGTGTTGGGATTCCAACAGCACACTATGCCTGACATTTTTATGTGGGTTCTGGAGATCTAATTTAGATCCTTGTGCTTGCACAGCAAGCACTTACTGATTGAGCTATCTTGTTGCCCTACACCCTGTGATGGTGTCCTGATCACAGAATAGTGAACAGCTCAGTGATGTTCCCAAGCAAAAACGTCACCACATCCCAGGGCAAATGCATTATCTGTCGGGGAGAAGCAGAGATATCTGCCCAAGGACCCCACACGCGACCAGAAGTCATCTTCAAGCACTAGAAAGGCCACATAATTTGCATGGCAGGTCCCCAGGGCCTGGGGCCTGAGAAGGCAGAGGCATTTGAGTCTTGACATCAGAGGTTTATAGGAATCCGTGGACTGTAGGACTATCAGGCCAAGCCATCATCACAACACAAGGCACAGTGATGAGGGCTGTCTGCCCTCACAGAGACAGAGAGCATCCACGTCAGGAAGACCAACCACATCACAGACAGGTGGCCCAGGGGTGACACATCCCTCCCCTGAGCTGCTGCCTCTGATGTGCTTTAGAAGTGAGCTTCAGGCAGACAGGAAGCCCACACTGGGATCCGGTTCATGAGGCCAGGCTTTGTGCTGTGTGCCAAGGTACAAAGACCAAAGTCAGGCAGGATCCCTGCCCCCAAGTGACACTTTAGGTAGCAACAGAGAATGCCACAACCCCTCCCCACTGTCACCCTCTTAAGTCTACTGACATGGACTGACACGGCCTTCTCCATCTCCCACTTCCCCTCCTCATCTCTAGGGCACTCTTTGTCAGCTAGTCTGCTCCGGCCATACGTCCCTTTGCAGACAGACCTAAGTTCTCGTCCAGATTCCAAGACTGGCCCCCCTTTAAAAGCTTTCAGCAGCTCCTGCTACCCTCAGACCGGAGCGTATCTCTCTGACCACCCTCATAACCTCCCTCAGCTCACCTGTCACCTCTGATTCAGAGGACCCAACTCCTGTACCCTCCTCCATAGTCTGACACCTGCAGCTCCCCGTGAGCACACATCCTGTAGAGCAGACCCCCTGGCTCCTTGATCCCCCTCCATATCATCTCACATAAACCTCTGAACCCCTAATGGGGGTCATGGGTCCCTCCAGGGGCTGCTGTGACAGCTGGGACTAGATCAGGTTTTGGTTCATTCTTTCTTCCCTTGTGTCTTCCCTTGACACCCTACTGTGATCGCTCCTTGAACCAGAACCTGATTGAGTCCCCATTCAGCTATTCTACCACCTTGATTTTGGCACCTGTAAAATGGGAAGGAAGTTGTGCCCATTACACCGGGCATTAAAAATCACCAGGCCAGTGCATGGGAAGAGCTGGGTGCTGCATGTGGCCGGGGGGAGCAGTTAAATGCCCCTTCTCAGTGTTTTTATTACTCATCACTCTGCCCAGCCAGTGCAACCACAGGTGTCTAATAGATGCAGCACCGCTCAACAAAGCAAAGCTTTAACTTCCCATTAGTTGAGCTGTGTGTAAGCAGGAAATTGACTTAGAAAGACAAGCCCATGTTCCCAGTGAGGGAAAGTGTTCAGATCACAGTTTATGCGGTGGCTTTAACTAGCTGCCATCGCATCTAGGTGGTGGTGGAGTATGGACTTTGGAGCCTGAGGGAGGAAGCTAGGCTCTGGCTGGGGACAGCGATGAAACCCTGAGCAGGCCTGGCCCTCCTTGCTGGGATTACCTCTTCTAGAACTGGACACTAGCGGTGGCCTGCTGCCCCACTGGCTGAGGGTGAAGGGTTCCATGTATTCAGTACATCAGACCTATGCCTGGCTCCCAGAAGACACTGCAAGCACCAGCTCTTTTGTGTCCACCCCAGCCAGAATGGATGACTGTAGAGGGGCTGTCCCTGTGACAACAACAAAAGCTCCAGA